TTGCTTGCGCAGGTGACCGGGGATGTCCTTACTAAGCTTTCAACTCTAAGACTCTAAGCGTATCTATTCAGTGCCCACGCTGTTGGAAGCAACTTTGCAATGCAATTCTTAGAAACGTTGAATGTTGGAGTCTACCCCCACATGATGAGATAATTAAGCCAGGTCGGTGTGGCGCTGTAGTCCTCGGCCATCTTTACAAAAGTGTTCAGCAAGACAAAATCCTGCCCGGGGGGCTTCGTCCACTTCGTCCACTCAACTGCAAAGGGTCTACGGTTGCTACATAAGGTGCCCTCTCCTGCTGTGGTGCTCTCTGTTGTAGTGCTCTATGCTGCTGGGGTGCCTGTGTATGGGCAAGCTGGTGCTGAAGAGCCATAGCATGCGTGCACCAGATGGCAGCACACACACACACACACAGCCTCAAGATCGGACGACAGATCCTCGTAGCGTTTAGCTCGGCTTAGGCTTCAAGTTCTGCGATCGAAGCTTTTATATCTGGCACAAACATGTAAAAATCAATGCAGATAGCCATTAAAGCCGTCTGCAGCTGAGACTGTTGTGCCCACTTTTGGCTTGACACGGCCATTTCCTATATGAACCAAAACTAATCCCAATGAACAAGAACGCGTTACGAAATATGGAAGTACTTCCGCATTTTTGCAGCAGCATCCCCTACCCTACTTAATTGTGAGCAACAGTGGTGCAAAGAAGCCTTGCAAGCGCATAGAGAGGCAGCCCGAGCAGCCTATATCTGGCCAAGAGCATCAGCCGTCCGCGAGCAAAACTCGTATAGTGCTGGTTGATGAGCCCGCTACCACCCTGACCCTCATAGATTCATGGTGTCATACTGTCATTTCTAGGATCTGCATGAGTGGCAGCGGCTCGGGTACCAATGCGGAGCAAGATCAAAACTGCTCCAGGTGTCCTGTTCTTAGAACAGGAGCATTCTTAAGCTGAGCTTGCACGCTCGAAGGCATGTTTCCCATACCTAGGAGCAAAAAGCGTCGGCGATGCCAGCTGCCTCCGGCAGTCATGACCAGTAGTAAGGAAATCTTGAAACCAATTAGATGCCATTCCAGCTTGATGTCAGTGTGGCCGCAACCTCAGCACAGAACCGACAGCCAAATCTCGCGGGCTTGCTGACATGGGGAGCAAAACCAATCCAACTCGACGTCTTATGAGTTACTCAGGTATTTCATAGCTTGGAAGGAGTGTTCGAGACGATCACAGCAATTGGCGGGGATTACCTAGGTTTTTCGAGATCAATCTGACATGAAGAACATGAAGCTGAATCTGCAAGCGCAACCAGACGGATGCCACGAATCCTTCCAAGTTCATTAATTCTGTGCAGCTTAATTGCGGGGATAGCTGGAAGAGCACGCGGAGAGACTGCTAATTGACAGCAACCTGATCAGTTGCTCACGTTTAGTTGGGAATGGCCGATTGCGCTAGAGCTGTACAGAAAGTATGACCCGGGAGAATATGGATAACAAAATGTATGGACTACCATATGGCGCGTCATTCAAGGGCAGCTGGCGGTCAAGGATGTCAAGACAAAAGGAGCTGCAAAATGCTCCGCAAGCAGCATGTGGCCGATTACAACTTACACCAGCCTGCCATTCGACGGAAGGATCGACAGCTTGAGTTTGATCTAACACGTGCGTGCATGGCGCCAGAATAGAACAATCGCGGTGGTATTGTCATAACTTGCATTCACGAAGCTAAAATGCTGTTCAAGACTGCTGTCATGATCACGGGGGTTTATGCGAATTTCATCATGGCAGAAACCGGCAAACATCTAACTTTTGGTTTCAAGAATCCGGGCTTTCGGTAAGTAAGTTGCACGTTTAGTCCATTTCAGAAAAAGTGGTAAGGGATCCACGGGCTTCCGCATTTATACTTCGGACTTTTTCATGGAAGGGGCTATTAGTCATAAGCTCAAACAGCTGCGCATTCACATGAAAAAGGAATAGACGACGCTCTTACTAGCATTTGTTACGAACATCAAAGACCCATAACAAAGTCCGGGATCAAGTGACACGAGGAAAGAAGAAACAATCACGGTAGGGTCCTCCGGCCACTTCCCCATCTGCCCGACCACATACAGACACAGGCTCCAGCGAGCTAAACGAGAAGAGACAGAAAGAAGAAGAGGAAAACGAGAAAAGTCACATGGTACAAGATCAAGCACATCCAGCACATGTCATGTCACAAGTCACACGCTAGTCATCTAATGCCTTTGCCGTCGCGCAGGCAAGGGGAAGAGAGGACAGTGGCGGGGGAAGTGCAGGTTTCCAAAAAGCTAGACGGCTGCGAAGGTGCCGGAGAGGCCTCTCAAAAAGGAAACCCAAAGGGCTAATGGTGCCACGCGCGTATCCAAATACCCTGACCCTGCAAAGGAGTTGATTTAGGATTTATGAAACTCATAGGATTTTGGCCAAGAACACCCAAATTTGCGTGTAAGCGGAAGTTCCAGGAAACACAAATGGCATAAGACATGCATAGAAACACATAAGAGATGCATAGCTTTCTGCAATGCGTGCATTTCACGTCGTCATTCGCTGCGAATCACCAGAAAATGATGCAAATTCTATGCATGCTGGCCCGCATGTATTTCTGGGGGGTGGAGCGAGCACGAGAGAGAACGAGAGACACGACGAGAGGGAGAGTGAGAGAGAAGGGAAAGGAGATGGAGAGAGGAAGGAAAGGGAGGGAGATTCAAAATCCTAGCCGTCCTCAGCCCAGGATCCATTCTGTCCCCTGCACCACTCTGTCCCCGCACCCTGCGAGAGGTCCCAGCCAAGGCCCTCCCGCCAGCCCTCACCGCTACCAGGCCCGGCTGCACGAGACAGCAATCATCATGCTAGCGCACTTGACCACATTTTCTATAACCCATGCCATAACGCAAACAATAAAGTTGTGCCGCCATCATGTCATTGCTATGAACGATTATGAACGGAACAAAAGATCTTAGAGATGACAGTACTCATGCTAGGCTGATGCACGGGACTGCATCTGGGTTAGCTTTGCCATGCTGTGGGGCATTGGCTCGCTACGTGCAATGCGGTGTCAATATTTGGAGTTTGTCAAAATTAAAGGTATCATCTTCGGGATTTCTATAATACGGACTGTAGTACTATAGCATATTCAGGTCTACATTATTGGGTTCCACTCATTTTGGGAAACTACAATTTCGAGGTATCTAAGGCATTGGTTGAGGGTTTAGGCCTTTGGGTTTCCAGTTTAAAGGTGGAGTACCTGGAAGTCACCAACAATGGGGCGACCCTTTTTGCGAGTCCATATAGCAAAGATTACAGAAACCACTCTTTACTTCGCGCAGTCGCCGACCGAATAGCATTTCGCCTATACGAAAAAATTCAGATTTCAAAAACACGTTTTTTGCAAAAATGCGCTGTTGCAAAAATGCTGTGTTTTACAGTACTTTCTGCTTCGCTGCCATGTGCGATTGTGTCTGAGATGCATGTTTTGAAAAAAAGCACGCGGAGCCCGAAACACTGCGCAGGACAATGATTTTGTGTCTTCCCATCATGATTTGCAAAAAAACACGAAAAATCCTGACTCCGAACTTTGCACCTTCTTTAAGTTAGCCCCCTTCCGAAGTACTGCGTTTTGCAGCATTTTTTTGATTCTCCGGTTACGGGGCAGCCAGAATAACGGGTCGTCAAAT